CGAGCATGATTCATTTGTAGTGTGATTGTATGACTGAATTAGGAGGATCACGAATATTCTCAACCAAATAATAAAAGAAGAAGAGAGAGAGTTAGAAAGGAAAGAGGAAATGAAGGAAGAATGGGAATGTTTTAGAAAGAGTGAGAAAAGAGAAGTTACAGCAAATGATAACAAACAAAATAGTAACATACACTCACACTACTAAAATAGTTCGATAAAATGTTTGCAGTGAACGATAGAGATGAACGACGAATGATCAACGAACGATGAACGAACGAGACGAACGAACGGTAGTTACTCAGCTTCTCTGTGTATGTGTAACAGTGTATATAAAACTTACCACGTGTAACTATGTGGTTACAAGTCATGAATATTGAATGTATTAATTAATCCAGGATATATTGAATGCATGAATATATTGACCACCACACATTGCTTTTAATAGTGTATGTTTTGCACTGACTCAAGTCAAAAGGGCTTTAAAAACTAACACCTATTGTGATGGCACAGATACTGTTGTCTTGATAGATTTTATTTGCCGAAGAGATCATGCATAAGACAGCAAACAAAAAATTATGCATTAAGAAATCCAAGCAGCAATGCAAGCATGTAAAATTGCCAGTTATCAATAGAGGCGTGGTTTCTGTGCCAACAAAATGGCCTAGGCCTAACTAGCAAAAATAACTAGCAAAAATAACTAGCAATAACTATAGCTACTCAAATAAAATACGGAAATATCTACTATTGACAACACTTATTATTGTGATTTTTGAACGCGTAGAGATGAACAAATCTGACAAGATGAGTACTTCTGATGTTGATGAAGAAATTGAGTTTGTTAATAAAGACCTCAAGATACAGGTAAAATGTCCTATTTGCCATTCCCAGATGCTAGAAGACGTCTACCAAACAGGCTGCTGTGGAAAGCTCGCTTGTCACACATGTGACAGTAGACTTAAGAAAGATGGGAGCAATTGTTTTAATTGTAGAGAGCAATACAAATCACATCCTGATAAAAATGCACGGGGGCTTATTCAGGATCTGAAAATGCATTGTCCCAATGCAAAAAAGGGCTGCAAATGGATTGGAGAAGTACGTGACCGTAAAAATCATATTAAGAAAGGAGAAAGAGATGGAGATAAAGTTTGTAAATTTGAAGTCATTGAATGCTGCTATGGCTGCAAAAGAAAAGATACAAGAAAAAACATGGATAAGCACGAGCCAGATTGCCCAGAAAAGCCCTACAAGTGCCAGTATTGCAAAGAAACAATCAAGCAAAAGGACGAAGAAAGTCATATGAAGAGTGAAGTTCCAAAGCATTTAGAATGTGCGTTTGATAAATTTACACAAGAAATACAATCCCAGAAAAAAGAAATAGTAAATATGAAATTAGAAATGCAGGCCAGTGAATCAACAAGATTAGTAACAGAGTTACAAAATCAAGTAACAGAATTGCAAAATCAGGAAACAAGATCACAGAAGGAAAATAGAGCATCACAAAATGAAATAACGCAATTGAATAATAGAGTTGCTGAACTTGAAGGGCAACTGCAACAGTTGCAAGCCAGAAGAGGATTGTTCTCTTGCCTATTTTGTCGACGTCCTCCTAATAACTAACTTCCTTAAGCCCAACATATTTGGCAACTTTGTTGAAATCAACAGAAATTTTGTTGCCAAAAGTAGAACACTGTTCTACTGTTCTACTGTTCTACTTTTGGCAACAAAGTTGACATACATTAAAGTAACCACAAAGTTGCTTTCAACAAAGTTGCCATAGTGGATGTTGGGCTTTACTCATTAAGAGCTACATGTATGTATATATCTTATTAATTTTTTGCTACTTTCTTTTTGCTTTTTTCTTGATAATTATTATATAGTGTATTTGTTTTTATTTTGCTGCTAATTAATGTTATCTGTTCTAGCTATAAATCTATATTGAGTTGATAGACTTTTAAAACTATATTTATACTTCTTAATTAGTATCAATCACATAAACAATAGTAATAAGACAGCATAGTATACAGCATAGCTAGCTTCTCTTAACAAACACTCTTTAACGGACAGCACCTACTGTACCAATTACATTCCTTACTGTATAAAATAACCTCCACATAAAGGACACCTCTGTATAACAGATTCATTGCTTTACATCTATGGAAGTTTCATATGACATAATCCCAAAAGGGAGTGTCTGGCTTGTGACATCACATGACATGTACAAACAAGCATAATAAAGTCAATCTATAATTCTATATATTCAACTGATAGCATTTTAAAACTTTATATATCTGTACTGCATTTGTAGCCAATTCCTCATCAATCACAAATAAAATTTATAATAAGAATGATACAACAGCAGTGATGTAATACAGTATAGTCTCTCTTAATGGACCACTATTTATAGAGCGCACCTCCATTTAAACCTATGCTACAACTGGATCTTGCATCCATGCTGGGGGAATAATGGAAAAGAAAATCAACCAATAATAATTGATAATAATTAGCCAATTAGTTTAATGATTTATAATTAATAAGCTAGGCTAATATGAAAAATAATTGACCCAGAATACTCAGATTTCATTGGTCAATTGCAAGTAGGCGTGGTAGAATAATAATTAATAATGGAGGTGTACCAATAGTTTTAACTCTTTCTTCACTTACTTGATGCGGCGACGATGCATGTAAGCAGCTAAGCATGCATAGACACTACAGTATCTATGGTCTGCATTCAGATCAGTACTTAAGTTTAATAACTAGCAGCGCCTTTGAGTTGAGCTCACGTGATCTGGGGTAAGTTTTGACCAAATTTGGTCAAAAGTTCAAAGTGCTGACTAACAGTGGGTGGAGCATAGATCTGACCAATCAGATTAGCGCGGTAAGGCCCTTTCCCGGGAAAGCTCTAGCGGGTATAAAACGAGCTGTTCTTCCTCTTCCAGTCATTTCTGCCATTTCTTTTGGCACCAAAGGCTCAGTCTTCAAGAGCTCTCTCTCTCCTAGTCAAGCTACAGTTAGTCATGGCCACAGTCTCCTTTCTCTCTCCTCCTCTCTCTCTTTCAATCACTCATTCATTTGTATTTTCTCTTTCTTTACAGGCTACTGCCAGTTGGCTCAGTTTTCTTGTCTAAAAGGTCACATGGCGGGTTGTGACCTCTTCCTTCAATGGCTGCTATGGTTAGTCATGGCCACTCTCTCAATCACTCCTCCATTTGTATCTTTCTTTTTTTTACAGGTTATCAGCAGTTGTCTCTTCTTCTCTATACCCAGCAGCAACCTCCCTTTCTCTTCAGTTTCTCTCTCTCTAAAAGGTCATGGAGGATTGTGACCTCTTTCTTCAATGGCTGCTACCCCTGCTATGGTTAGCCACGCCACAATCTCCCTTTTCCACTCTTATTTTGCTCTACCTTTTTCTTTATTATTATTGTTGTCACTTATTTTTCTTCTTTTTACAGGATCCTGTGCTTTTTATCCTACCACGTGCTTTTTAAACTTCCCGCCATTTTGTCGGAGACCACGCCCACCAAATGACTGGTCTAATTAATTGGAGGGACAATGGATGTGATAGCAAGTGAGGATTTTGCTTTATTTAAGGGCCATGTACCTTAACATGATCCTGTACATGTAGTTATTATAGCAGCCATTAGTTGTTATAAGCCTCATGTTTCTCACTAGTTGTTGTTGTTTACCATTAGTTGTTTATATAGCCACTTGTAGTTGTTGTTATAGCCTTTTTTCTATTAGTTGTTGCTTGTTGTACATGTTGTCTCCTCTCTATTGTTATTTGTTTTGATAGTGTATACTGCTCATGTTAACTTGTTTTCTTTTTATTTAATTTTAGGAGCTGAACAAGGACGTGTTTCAAGTCAACAGGACTCGTACGTTCCCGTCAAACCATTCAAGTCCGGAACGGTCGAAATCTCATGAAAGTTCAAAGGATTCATGGAGGAATTCACTTGGAAATATCGTAGGATGGATTCTCATGGATTAATCAGCGAGTTAATAGTTGTAATACTAGCTGGGCTGGCCGACCAGACCTGGCTAGTAACGCACTCATACA